GTGCTGCAAAATTACCAAGAATACAATCTGGCTAACATCATCTACTACTCTTTGAAGGAGTCTACCACCAGTGAGCAGAGTGCTAGGATGACAGCCATGGACAACGCCAGCAAGAACGCTTCTGAGATGATTGATAAATTGACTTTGACATTCAACCGCACCCGCCAAGCTGTCATCACAAAAGAGTTGATTGAAATTATCTCTGGTGCTGCAGCTCTGGATTAATGAAAATCAAGTTCCATCCTCAGATAAGAGGTAAAGAAGGAAAATTCAGCCAGCTGATTGGTTTTTAACGTGCCGCTGTTTTGTCAGAAGAAGTTGTTGCTCCATTGTTTGAATTACTGAAAACAGCAAGATATTTGTAAATTATCTTACAATAAACAAATTAAGAAAAAAAAAGATAATAAGGGAATACTAAAACAGCTCTACCTAGGAAACTCAGGATATACCATATCTGTTTAACTCACCAGCATATTACCAAAAACTTAGTGTGGTGCCGGTATATGGTAGACTATCAATGATTGTTAAATTAATTAGTGAATCATCTAAAAACATGGTAACAAAGGAAACAATCAATGGAATGAAGATGTTTCCATTCCAATGGAATGGGAGAAAATATTTACAAATCATACATCTGATAAAGGGTTAATATTCAAAATATATGAGGAACTCAACTCCACAACAAGAAAACAAATAACCTGATTAAAATATGGGCAAAGGACCTGAATAGACATTTCTCAAAAGGCGGCATACAAAGGACCAACAGGTATACGAAAAAAGTGCTCAACTCATCAGGGAAATGCAAATTAAATGAGCTATCACCTCACCACAATGAGATATCACCTCAGATCTGTTGAAATGACTATTGTCAAAAAGGCAAAAGATAAGTGTTGGCAAGGATGTGCAGAAAAGGAAAGGCTTCTCCATTGTTGGTGGGAAGATAAATTAGGATAGCAATTATGGAAAACTGTATGGAAGTTCCTCAAAAAATTAAAAATAGAACTACCATGAGAACATGGTGATTCAAAATAATTTAGAAAGGAAATTTCAAATGTCTTACCTCAAAAAATGATAAGCAAGTAAGGTAACAGATATGTTAATTAGTTTGATTTAATAGTCCACATTGTATACATTTTTCAGAACATCACATTGCACCCCATAAATTTATATAATTATGATTTGTCAATTAAAAGTAATATTAATATTATAAAAAGAATATGGTGAAATAAACCCAGGATGACAATAATAGGAAACTATTGCTTCCTTGCTCAATGTGGGATTTATTTCATTGGAAGTTGGGGTTGATTTGGCTGATTAAAATGGTTAATTTTCACAGACTGGGAGGACATACTCTCTTAATTTTCTTTCCTAATATATGCCCTAGAAAAGAGCCCGTTTAAAAGAAACACATAGAATCGAGGAATTTTAGATGGAGATACATTTCAGGGCTTTGCCAAACTGGGATCCTCACCTTTGTGGGGACTGCAAAAGAACACACTGGGGAGAGGGATATCGAGCAGCCCAGCCCCATCATGTACACACATGTCCTTCTTGTACTTCAAGATATTCTGTGCTTTCCATCAATAAAGGACCGGAAGACTTGGCTGGGGAAATTTCACTACTGATTAAAAATTCCATTTGTCTGTGAATTGAGCTTGTTTTAATAAAGTGAAAGAGAAATGAAAAAGAAAATAAAAACAATTCTATGTGGATAAATACAACAAATTAGGTGAAATGTATCAATTACTTGAAAGCCGAAAACTGAAAACTCACTCCCAAAGAAATAGGTAACTCAAAACATCCTGTCTATTAAAGAAATTGAATTCATAGTTAAAAAACCTTTATAGAACAAAAAAAGAACTCTCCAGGCTCAGACGTTTTTACTGATGAATTTTACCAAACACTTAAAGAAGAAACAATCATAATTATATATTATTTCTTCTTAGGAAGAGGTAGGAACACTTTGATTCATTTTATAATATGAGGCCAGCTTTATCCTAAAACCAAAATCAATGATAGTACAAGAAAGAAAAACCATAGACCAGTATCCCTCATGAATATAGATGCAAAAGCCTCAAAAGCTATTAGCAAGTAGAGTCCAGAAATATATAAAAAGAATAATACACCACCACCAAGTGGGGTTCATCCTGGGAATGCAAATCAGCCATATGAACAATAAGAAGAAAAAACATGATTATATCAATTGATGCAGATATCAACTAACAAAATTCAACATCTATTTGTGATTAAAAACTCTCAGCAAACTAGAAATAGGAAGGAGCATTCTTTTTTATATGCTTATAAAGGATATTTTAAAATTGCAATATAATTCACGTTTGTGTCTGGGTTTTTTCACTGAGCATTATGTTTTCAAGGTTTATCCATATTATAGCATGTGTCATACTTCATTCTCTTTTAAAGTGAAAATTATATAACGTAAAATTAACTATTTCAAAGTACATAATTCAGTGCCATTTAGAACATTCATGATATTATGCAACCATCACCTTTATCTAGTTCCAAAATATTTTCATCACCCCAAAAGGAAACCCTGTGCTCACTAAGTAGTTCCTTCCCATTCCACTCTCCCCACACCCACTCCACCAGCCCCTGGCAACCACTAAGTTGCTTTCCACCTCTACGGTTATACCTATTCTGGATATTCCATACAATGGGAATCAAATAATACATACCCTTTTGTGTCTGGTGTCTTCACTTAGCATCATGTTTTTGAGGTTTGTTCATGTTGCAGTATGTATCAGTACTTCATTCCTTTCTATGGCTGGATAATATTCCATTGTATAAGTATGCCACATTTTGTTTATCTATTCATCAATTGGTGGAAACTTGGGTTGTTTCCACTTCCTGGCTGTTGTGAATAATGCTGCTATGAACATTAGTATACAAGTTTTCGTTTGAACACCGGTTTTTAATTGAGTATATATTTATTTAACTTTTGAGAAACTGCCAAACTATTTTCCAGAGTAGTTCACTATTTTACCTTTTCGCCAGCAATGTATTAATATAATCATTCCAATTTCTTCACATTGTCGCCAACACTTGTTATTTTCCATCCCAGTGGGTGTGAAAAAATATCTCATTGTGGTTTGGATTTGCATTTTCCTAAGGACTAATGATGTCGAGCGTATTTTCATGTGCTTGTTAGACATTTGAGTATTTTCTTTGGAGAAATGCCTGGTGTGGAATGTATCTTTGTGTCCATCCAAAATACATATGTTGAAACTCTAACCCATAATGGGATGGAATTATGAGGTGTGACCTTTGGGAACTAATTAATTCATGAGGGTGAAGTCCCCGTGATGGTATTAGTGTCTTTATAAGAAAAGGAAGAGAGCTAGCCCGCTCTCTCTCTCCACCATGTGAAGATACAATGAAAAGATGGCCATCTATAAATCAGGAACCTGGAACCTTGATCTCGAATTCTAGACTCCATAACTGTGACAGATCAATGTTTTTGTTTAACATTGAGCCCCAACTGACTAAGGTAATGCTTATTCAAGTCTTTTATCCATTTTAAAATTGGATTGTTTGGCCTTTTGTTATTGAGTTGTAAGACTTCTTCATATTTTCTGGATACTGGATACTTACCAGATATATGGTTTGCAAATATTTTTTCCCATTTTTGTGTAGAAAAGAACTTTCAAATTTTGATAAAAGGAATCTATAACTAGCATCTTACTTAATGTTGAGAGACTGAATGCTTTTTTCCTAAAATCAAGAACAAGGAAGTGATGTCCATGCTCATCACTCTTATACAACATTGTACTAGAAGTCCCAGCTAGGGCAATAAGAAAAGAAAAATAAATAAAAGTCATGCAGATTGAAAATAAAGAAATAAAACATCTTTATTCATAGATGACAGAAAAAAGTTATTATTAATAAATTAAAAATACAATGAAATATGTGTATGTAAGAAGACACCATTAGGAAATCCACAGAATATGCAAACTACAGACATGGAAAAAATATTTGCAAACCATATACCTAACAAAGAACTTGTGTCCAGAATGTATTAATATAAGAATTCCTAAAACTCAACAGTAAAAATACAAACAACATTATTGGAAAATGGGCAAAAGACTTTCACAGATATTTCACATAGAAATAAATATTAATATTAATGGCCAATAAGCTTGGGAAAAAGTGTTCAATATCATTATTTATCAAGGAAATGCAAATGAAAAACCACTACATCCATTAAAATGGATAAAATTTCAAGTTATAAAGTTAAAGAAAATTATTTCCTAATTACAATACAATATTATACTCAGCCAAACTATCACAAATAAATATGAAGACAGAACATTTTTTATTTACATCTGCAAATTTCAAAAAGTATTTCCTATGCATTCTTTCTCTAATAAGAGGATTTTCTTTTTCACAGTTAAGGAGTAAACAAAAGAGGAAGACATAGGACTCAAGATATTTTTACACAGAACAGAGACAAAGGGATTTCCAGAATGACAGTGGAAGGAAGTCTCAAGATCATAGCTATGGGCAGTTAGTAAGAAACAAACCCAGAATGGATCAGTGAATAATATTTACACGGTTATAATAATATAAATACTGAATATTGGTTTAACTAAAAACTAGGATAGGAATATAGGGAGATGCAAAAATTCAGGCAGTAGTGATAAGAAGAGAGATTTGTCCTCAACTATTGTAATAAAAAAGGAGTGGATAATGTCTCAAATGAACAAATCAAGAAATAACAATATGTATATATATTTTTTTTAGAAATATCTAGGAAAATACAGCCAAGAAGAGTTTAAATGCTTCGGAAGTGGTTATCTTTTGAAAAAGAAAGCAGCCCCCATAATCACATTATTATTTATTTGTTTGTTTGTTTGTTTTTATTTTTATTTTTTTGAGACAGAGTCTTGCTCTGTTGCCCTGGGCAGAGTGCAGTGGTGTCATCATAGTTCACTGCAACCTCAAACTCCTGGGCTCAAGTGATCCTCCTGCCTCAGCTTCCTGAGTAGCTGGGACTACAGGCACACGCCACCACACATCTGGCTAATTTTTCTATTTTTAGTAGAGACGGGGTCTCGCTGTTGCTCAGGCTGGTCTCAAACTCCTGAGCTCAAGCGATCCTCCCACCTTGGCCTCCCAGAATGCTAGGATTACAGGCATGAGCTAGTGCGCTTGGCCCATAATCAGATATTTCATTAAAAAACCCAACAAACAAAAGAATCCTGATCTTG